CAGGGCCACCTGATGCCCTCCCCTCCATGTCTCCCTCCAGGAGTGGAGTGACTACAAGCTGCGCTGGGACCCGGCAGAGTTTGACAATGTCACCTCCATCCGGGTGCCCTCTGAGATGATCTGGATCCCCGACATCGTGCTCTACAACAAGTGAGTGACGCTGCCAGGATGGGGCATCCTTAGGGCCAGCTCCCCCTTTCCCTTCCCTTTCCATCCCTGCAGCTCATCCCATCCCATCCCATCCCGGCAGCTCCCCACCACTGCCAGCTCCCCTGGGCCTCCTGCTCTCCATCCCACCCCACTGGTAAGGATGCAAATCAGTCTTCATCCATCTCCCCATGTCTGGTGCTCGTGCTCCCACCCATCTCCATGCTCCAGATGATGCCCAGGAGGGTGAACCCAGCACTGTGCAGGGATGCACGATGAGACCACAGCCTCAAATCAAGGCTCATACCAGCCCTGAGAGCTGAGTGAGCTCCTGGCCCTATTTCTTGGGGGAAACAATTCATCCTCCTCTGATCTTCACATCTCTCCATGCCTGCAGTGCCGACGGGGAGTTCGCCGTGACCCACATGACGAAGGCCCACCTCTTCTCCAATGGGAAGGTGAAGTGGGTGCCTCCTGCCATCTACAAGAGCTCGTGCAGCATCGACGTCACCTTCTTCCCCTTCGACCAGCAGAACTGCAAGATGAAGTTCGGCTCCTGGACCTACGACAAGGCCAAGATTGACCTGGAGAACATGGACCATCACGTGGACCTCAAGGATTACTGGGAGAGCGGTGAGTGGGCCATCATAAATGCCATCGGCACCTATAACTCCAAGAAGTATGACTGCTGCACGGAGATCTACCCCGACATCACCTTCTGCTTCATCATCCGTCGCCTCCCGCTCTTCTACACCATCAATCTCATCATACCCTGCCTGCTTATCTCCTGCCTGACCGTGCTGGTCTTCTACCTGCCCTCCGACTGCGGGGAGAAGATCACCCTCTGCATCTCTGTCCTGCTGTCCCTCACTGTCTTCCTGCTGCTCATCACGGAAATCATCCCGTCCACCTCGCTGGTCATCCCTCTCATCGGCGAGTACCTCCTCTTCACCATGATCTTCGTCACGCTCTCCATCATCATCACTGTGTTCGTCCTCAACGTCCACCACCGCTCCCCCAGCACCCACACGATGCCCTGCTGGGTGCGTAGCTTCTTCCTCGACTTCATCCCTCGCTGGCTCTTTATGAAGAGACCCCCGGTGCTGCCTCCCCCCGAGGGGACCGCCGGGCAGTACGACCTCCCGGGGACGAGGCTCAGCACCTCCCGGTGCTGGCTGGAGACCGATGTGGATGACAAGTGGGATGAGGAGGAGGAAGAGGAGGAGGAGGAGGAAGAGGAGGAGGAGAAGACGTACCCCAGCCGCATGTCCCAGGCGGACTCCCATGGCCAGGGCACCCAGTGCCGCTACAGCTGCGGGCGCCAAGCTGGGAAGGCGTCGGGGGGCTCAGCCCCCCAGGTGCCCCCCAAGGAGGAGGAGGAGGAGGAGGTGGGCTCGGACCGGGGGCTGATGCTGTCCCCCAGCATCCTGAAGGCCCTGGAAGGAGTGCAGTACATCGCGGACCACCTGCGAGCCGAGGATGCCGACTTCTCGGTGAGTGGGTGCCCCTGAGGGCTGGAGGGTGAGGGGGGGTCCCCTACCCTGGGTGCTGCCTCCTGCCAGTTGTACCTCCATGGCGGGGGGTCAGTGCTGGGACCCCCGGTTGGTTTCCTGCCTGCTGAGGACCCAAAGCCAGGGAGAAGATCAATGACCACCTCCTGGGAGATGTCTGGTTCACAGGGTCAGCTGAGGGTTCCTCCAGCTCCCGTCCCTGCTGGCTGCAGGGATGGTGGAAGTCCCTCTCCTGCCCGTGGTGTCCTGCCCTCGGAGAGCAGAAATGGCCCAGCCTGCCCTGCTGGGACCCTGCTCAGAGGCTGCACCCCTCTTTTTAGCCAGGTGGTTTCAGAAAACCCTGGGTGGGATTAGTTCTGCCCCAAGAAACCTCCCCAGGGAGGTCCGCCCCCCAGTCCTGCTGCTCCAGGGATTTCCCAAGACACAGGGTATCTCCTCACCCTGAAGCAAACCATGGATGCAGAGCAAGCCCCGGGTGGTCTCCTAACCCAAAGGGGTCCTCAAAAATGGGGGGGCTGCATCCTCTACCCACACTCACAGACCCTTTTTGCTCGGCAGGTGAAGGAGGACTGGAAGTATGTGGCCATGGTGATCGACCACATCTTCCTCTGGATGTTCATCATCGTCTGCTTGCTGGGCACCGTGGGGCTCTTCCTCCCGCCCTACATGGCGGGGATGATCTAGGGGCCGGGCCAGGCTGCGATGGGGACGGCGGGCGATGCATGCTCCCTTCTCCCGGGGAGTGGGCATGGTGGTGCCCACGTCCAGCCGGACCCTTGCCTCTCCCTGGGAGGACCCGGTTGCAACCACGGAGGACCCTCGGATGGGAAATGCAGGGTGAAGCAAGGGCTGTGCCAAGGGGTGACCTGGGGATGATGGGGAGGGACGGCTGCCTGTCATCCTACCCGGTTGCAGCAGTCCTGGGATCAGGGAAGGCATGGCACAGCTTTTCTGTTGCCCAAGCACAGGCTGGAGGCATCTAAGAGAGGCATCTGCTTCCTTGAGCTGCTGCAAGTCCTACCCAAAACCCGAGAGCTGTGTCTGGTTGTGACTCCAACATGCTGGGCAAGAAGAGGGGACCTCACAGCTGCTTTAGGACGCGTCCTGACCACAGGGTGTTCAGGACCACAGGCTGGCGCAGCCATGCATGATGTGAGGCAGATGATAACGCTTCAGATGGTCTATGCAGAAGGGGTATGGTTGTGGGATGGAGGTCCCTGCTGAGCCGCATGGCTTGGGGGTCTCTGCTCTGCAAAGCCCAGCCCAGGTGCAGACCCTCTGCAACCCGCCAGCACGAGCGGTTGCTTCCACACCATCCCACACCAGAGGTCGGAGTGGCAGGGAGATGGGAACAGCCCACCCAAAAATGTGGGTGGTTTGGAAGGGAAAGACCACCCTGCAGAGCGGGATAACCCACCCGGCCACGGCCAGATGATGCCCATGGACCCTGGGAGCTTGGGGTGCTGCCTGGTGCCGAGGCTGGTGGACTTAGCTGGCGTGGGGGCAACCTGCACTGCCGAGGTCCATCCCGAGCAAATCCTCCTCTCCATCCCATGTCAGATCCCAGACCGCCTGGCTCTGATGTCTGCTGCCATCCAGCTTTTAATTTCTAGCTTCCATATATCCTAAAGGGCATCTACTCTCTGCTCCCATGTCCTCAGAGACACCAGGATTTTCCAGCAATGTTTTCTCCTCCAGGAGACCAACCCAGGCATTGCGGTGCTGGATGCAGTCCGAGAGGTTTCAGAAAACACTTTGTGCTTTCAGGAGCGAAATGGGCTGGAATAAAGGGTGCCACGAAAGGACGTGCACATCCCGAGGGTGTTGCAGCTGCTCATGCAGCCTCTGGTGCTGGCAGGCTGGCTCAGGCGTGCGCACAGCTGGCTGAGAAATGAGATGTGCGAGGGAGCGAGTGCCTGGGCACGGCTGGCTGGATGCGTGCGTGGGTAGACGTGCGTGCGTCTCTAACCCGGTATGCATGAGCTTTAGGGCTCTGCAGAGCCAGGAGGACAATTTCTGGCTTGGCTGGGGCTGCATCTCCTTAGGGTGATGCAGGGATGTTGGCTGGAGGTGAATAGGATGGGATACCCAGCGAACAGGGCACTGCCAGCCATGGCACAGCTTCAGCAGCCCTCACCGTGATGGGGCAGAGGGGGGGACTTGCTCCCCTTCCCATCTTAATCCCTGCAGCCCCTCTTGCCAGCACCCACCACCCCGCTCAGCTCAGCCCTGCCTGGCTGATGAGGCCACCAAGGCACAAGCTGTGGGGTGACCACCCCCAGTGTGGCAGTAGATCCCAAGCCTCCTTCTTTTGTGGGGAACGCATCTTCATGGCTGCGCTATCCCACATAAACCACTTCCCAGCAGCCTCCACCATGAATTACCACCTGTGATTTCCTGACGGTCTTTGAAAAGCAGAAGTCTGCAGATACTCTCACTAGCAAGCCTTGGGGTGGGAGCAGGGGGAGCCCAGGACCCTCGTGTGGATTGTGGGGTCAACGGGAGGGAAATGGGGTTCCAGAGGGGACGTGGATGCAGCAGACCCACATTCTCCCCAGCAGCTCCTCTGGGGATGCTACCACTGGGACAGCTGGGAGGTCTGACCAGCATGACCCTTAACTCTTTCTAAAGAGGTGCTGGTGACCAGGGGACTTGTCCTGGGGGGTGACAGGCAAGCACAGGCACAGCAGGGCTTTGTGCGTGGTTTATCTCAGCCAGAATGAACAGCGTTGTGGGAAGATGCTGGGGAAAAGCCCAAACCGTACGGTTTCCAACTCAAAAGCACAAACCGAACAGAGACTTGGTTTGCCATCGTTGCTTACACAGAGCAGCTCGGAGAAAACTCAGCTGGAAGAGGCACCGTTCTCCTGGTTTGTGTCACTGAAGGCTGCGGTTCGTGGGGTCCCATCCCTCCCCGTGCTCTGCGGGTTTGGGGCCGGGCGTGCTCCGGCCATGGGCGCTGCAACCGGCTCCGCCACGGCACGCAGACCCGCTTCCCATCATTAAATAAACTCTTCTATACAATGTACAAGGAAACGCAAACAGTCCCTCCGGCCACCGTTCCGACGGCCCCTGGGGACCCCCGCTCGGCCCCCCGGGATGCCAGCTCCCCCAGCCGCCGTGCCCCCCCGGCTCCCGGCAGCGAGGAGTGGGGTCCAGGTCCCCGTCGCGACATGCCGCCCGCGGCTGTCCGTCCTCGGAGGGGCCGAGGGACGGACACACGGACCTGCTGGCAGCCGGGGAGCAGGGAGCCGCCGAACCAGAGGGATCTTCAGCCGCCTTTGGGGACAGCCAGGTTCCCCCTCAGTCCTTTCCAGGGACGAGTCACCAGATGCCTCCCTTCTTCAGAAGACCGACGAGATGATGCTAAAGACATGAGTGGCTGCAGGAGGAGGGGGGACAGGGAGGGCAGGACAGCGAGGCCATGGGAGACACACAAAAGCCAGCTCCTCCGCGACGCTTTCCTCCCATCTCCGCCGACCGAAGCGCGGCGGTCCCTCTTCTCTCCTTCCCCCTCTCCACCCCTGCCCTCACTCCAAGCACAGCTTCACCAGGTTGGCCTGGACCTTGGCTTGGTCCACGGCATCCAGGAGGTTCTTGGCATCCACGGCCAGGGTGTGGGAGGCCGTCAGCATCTGCCGCTTGCACTCTTCGCTCAGCGAGGTGACGGCATTCTGCTGCGCCAGGCGCATCTTGTTGATGAGGTCAGCCAAGTCCTTGTTGAGCAGCTTCTGGGTCCCCTCGATCTGACCATGACACGCAGGGGTTACAGACAGGGGTGCCACCAGTGCACGACCCCACGCCGGACCCCTTTCCCTCCTCCCCAGTCCTACCTCGGTGCGGGAGGCAGCAGGCAGGACAGGCAGGATCTCGTCAACGCTGCCGATCAGCTTCCGCAGGGACAGGCCCACGTTCTGCGGGGAGGGCAGCAGGGTTAGGATGGATCCAGGTACAGGCACAGGGAAGTGGTGCATGGGAATAGTCTGCGTCGCTAAGTCAAGGATCCCATTTGAGAGAGGGCCATGGTGGGAGACTCTCCCACTGTTGACACAAGGACCCAACGGAGGAGCAGGACATGCTGGAAATGCTCCCACCATTGACCCAAGGACCCAGTGGAGGAGAAGGGCATGCTGGAAATGCTCCCTCCTATACGTGCAAGACCTTCCTGAGAAGGATGCTTGGTGGGAGCCACTCAGCAGTCTCATTTCCAACTCCCCCCCGCCACTCCCCATAGAAGCCCTGGTGTTGTCCCCTCCCTACCTTCACCACGAGGATGTACCCCTCCGGGGGCAGGAGGCTGATCTCGTTCTTCAGCTGCAGCACGGCCCGCACCAGGTCCATGACGTTGCTGTACACCGTGTCATCTGTGCGGTCCAGGTTGGCGGTGGGGGCTGGTTGGATGGACTGCCAGGGACCGAGGGGGCAAGGAGGGAAAGACCAACACTTATGGGGAGCCCTGGCCAGAACCATCCACCTCCCACCCACGACCCCGATGCTGCTGGGTCTGTCTGACCCCTTTGGGGCCTGGGGGAGACAGAAAAGTCCCATCCTGCAGATGCAGAGGGATGATGGAGGTGGAGGAATGAGACTGTGGAGATGGAGGAGGAGGTCCAGGGCCACGGTGGCCCGATCCAGGGAGATCTTACCTGTGCCCCAAGTCTTGGAGGCTTCTGGGGGGGGCCCGTGAACTCCGCTATGCCGTCAGTAAGGGAAAGGAAGGATAGTCACTCTGGCTGCTCCCACGGACACGTGGGCATGCTACAAGACCCCTGGGACCTGTGCCACGTCCCATACCAACCTGCAGCAGCATGTCCCACTGCAGCTGGACACCCTAACCCACCCTAACTGTGCCACCTCCCCGCAGGGTCAGACCCCCATGGACCCCCATGCCTGGGACAGGCAGACCCCTGCCTAGGGCAGGCAAAGCTGCTCCCCAGGATCTGGGATTTCTTTCATGGAAGATCCCAAAGCCAGGAGGGATACAGCCCCAAGGCTCCTCGCAGCTCAGCGCAGGGCTCCCTGCTGGCAGCCCCAAAGTGGGTGCTCCTGAGTGGGGGGGCCACAGGCAGCCCCACACCCTGTGCAGCTGTGGGCACTCACTGTAATCCGTCTCCTTCTCCGGGAGCAGCTGTGGGGGGAAGAAACAGCAAATGAGAGGCAGAAAGTCCTGGCTGGAGGCAGTGAAAAGAGAGGAGGCATCACCATCCCCTCCCAGGGCTTCTGGTGGGGAGCTCCACACCACCAGTATTTCACCCCAAAAACATTTTCAGATTAACTTTCCCAATGCAAGGGGCACATGTATAAATATTTATCGCCCATCCATGCCAAAGCAAATGAGGATCTCTGGACACCCCCAAAAGAAGGACCCCCTGCACCCAAGTATGACCCAGCTTCTCCAGGGCTGGCACCACTCACCGGAGGAGTGTTGTTGTTCATGAACACTGTCGGGTCCTGCAAAGGGGGAGAAGCTTTGTGAGAGGCATGGAAAAAAGGAAAAAGAGAGGAAAAAAGGGATTTTCCTGATTTCTGGGAGACTCATGAAACACATCACAGGAATGTATCTCTGCAGGGTCCAGGAATGTGGGAGGGGAAGGGGCTTCATGCCCATCGCTGGTCCCATCCCCTCCCATCCCATCACCCCTATCTGCTGCCTACCTGTTCCTGGGGCACCAGAAACCTCAAACTGCTGCTTAAAAAAACCCAAAGTTTAATTCAAGCATCTGACAGCCCCCGGGGGTGAGGGGAGTTGGGCTTTGCTTTATTGGCTGCATGAGTTGATCGAATAAAAGATTTTTAGTTTCCTTCCAAGCCTGTCTCACCACAAGCTGATGCATTAGTCACATGTTAGCTATCTCCAGTCCTTATTTCAAAAGCATTATAAAAGCTCATTAAGACACGATTGCAAGTATTTAAAAACTGCCCAACTTTCAAAATATTCATTTTGAAATGAAGCAGCTTCATGAGATTTTTATGGGTGCAGAAAATAAAGGGGTGCAAGAGGTTTGGCTGTTGGAATACCTGTTTCTCCAAGGGAAACTGGCTTTTCCAGCCATGAAGAGCAACCTCAACAGCTGCAGTGGCTCTTCCACCACCTTCATGAGGGTGCAAGAGCTGGAGGTAGCCCGAGGCCACTCACCAGGGACTTCTCCTCCTGCCGCAGCCACTGGTAGTCCTCCACCATCTGCTTCTGCTGCTTGTCCAGGACCTGCCGCATCTTCAGCCTCTCAATCTCCCAGAGCTTCTGAGCCTCCTCCCTGCTGCTGGGACGGAGGAAATCTTCCTCCTGGTGTGCAGAGCCGGCGGTGATGGACAAGGCTCAGGAGTCAAAGCCCCCCTCCCCAATTTCAGCACAGGAGCCGGAGCCCTGCTCCGTACATGCAAGCCATGCGCCAGACCCCAACAGCCACGAACCCCCAAACTGAATTTGGGGAGCACTTGGGTTTCCAGCAGAGAGAGGAAACCACCGGCTGGCCCCATATCTCCCACCACTGCATTCCGGCACTTTCCATGGGCAGCATGCATGGACCACCCTGGGGACGTGCTCAGCACCACAGCCGTCCCGGCACACCAGGCAGAGCATCGCAGGATGCGCCCCAACACCCAGCTCTGATTTTGGGGCTAATGTAACGGAGCTCAGGCTGCAAACCACCGCTGGCATTTCAGGTGACAATGCCGAGTGTGAAGACCTGACCCGAAGCCCCGAGGAGCGGCAGCCACCCATCCCCTGCCCATTTTTGGGGATGCCATGCCAGTTGCTCATCCACCAACATGCCTTCACCGGGCTGTGCGTGCAAACATGCATGGCAGGGGGCTGGAGATACCCCAAAGCCCTTCACGATCTCGATCCCTCCAGCCCACAAACAGCACCCATGGGGTGGCAGGTTGGGAGCAACGCTGAGCTCAAAGCAGCGGAGGCGGCAGCACAGAGCGGAGCGTGGCGCAGCAAGCAACCCTCCGACCGAGCCTTCGCCTCCTGCGTGGTCCCCGGCATGCCTGGGATGAGGCCACCCGGGACTGGGATGTCCTCTGGATGCTGTGGGATGGGGGAATCCCTCTCTTACCCTCATGCTGTGGCGCTTGAAGACATTGTGGCGGTTGAGCGGTGGGGTGTGCAGGGAGTTGGCCGGAGACTGGTACTCGATGGGGCTGGTGAGCGTAGGCGAGCTGGCACACAGACCCTCGGGCACCTGCGGGCGGGCAGGGGGGAGCGGGCAGCGGGGCAATGCAGGCACAAACAAAGCCACGGGGGTTAGTGCGGACAGACGGAGCAGACAAGGCAGGGGAGAGCGGCTTTTGCACCAGGAGCAGCCTCTGCCCTCATGCCTGTCCGTGCAGCAGGAACGGGACCTTCCTCCCTGCTCGGCTCTTCCTCGCCCTGAGTGTGGGCTTGAGACCTCCTGTGCTGCTGCCTGGACCCCTGTCCAGCCCCAAAAGAGCATCCAAAATAGTTGCTCTTGAGGGCTTCACCCTGGTGCTCCAGGGACCAGTACTGGGGTGGGTGACCTGTGGTCCCGCAGGGCAGCCAAACTCAGCCCCGGTAGCACCAGAGAGCAGCAAACCTCCTCTCCTCCCAGCCGAGCGTGCAAACCGGCTGGTGCCAAGCGTGCAAACTCCTGTTCCCTGGAACAAAAGCCTCTCTGCCAGCTCCGAGGGGCAGACAAAACACAGGGCAGGACAGGGCTGAGCCCCGAGCGGTGCGGTGTCCTGCTGGCAAGGCGGCGGGAGGCACTTGGTGATGGTGTGGGGCACCCTGGAGCCCCAAAAGCCATGAGCCCCTGAGGGCTCAAGCTCCAGGCAGGGCTTTCTGGCATTGATCCCCTTGCTCAGGTCCCTGTGGGATGCTTCGGCTGTGCAGCCTTACCTGGAACTGCAGCTTGGGAGCCAGGAGGTTGCTCTGGGGTGGTGGCTTGTACCTGGGTCTGCTGGGCTGCAGGGATTGGAGGAGGGAGAAACGTATGGTGGGTGCAAGATCAGGGAGGTCCCACTTCCACAGCACCCATTGGCAGGTCGAGTTGGGGAGATGAACCTGCCTGCGCTGCCTGCATGGGCTCTGCCCTCTCCTCACCTTTGGAGGTGGCTCCTGGAAGGATGGCGGCTCCAAGATTTTGGGAGGCCGGTGGCGGTTGTTCCTCTCCTGCTCCTTGGCCAGCTCCTTCTCCATCAGGTAAATGTCGCTGCAGGGGGAGATGGAGGGTGACAGCCCCGGGAGGGAGCCTTGGCACAGCCCCTCTGGCAGGGACGTATCTCCCATGCCCAGGGATGCTTGAGCTGGATGGACCATGGAAAACATGAGGGAGCAAGGAGGGATGGGAAAAGCAAAGGGAAAGGACTGGGAGGATGTAGCTTGGTCCCAGACGGCCACACCAGCTTCACCCTGGCTGGCCCCAGTGAGATGTGGGGTTAGGACTCCCCTGCAAGACCCCTCCCTGGGAAGCAAAGCATTTCCATTTCAGCCCAGGCACCACCACCCCAGGGGCAGATGGGCTCAAATCGTCTCAAATGGTCCTTTGAGTTCAGACTTGGCCAGAAAACTTCAGACCCAAAATCTTGCAGGGGTTCATGTTTCTCCTTCACCCACTTGCCCACCCCTCCATCAAACCACAGACCTCCCCGCTCACCTCAAGCTGCAAACCAAGTCCTTGAACTTGGGCCTTTCACTGGGGTCGTAGTCCCAGCAGCGCGTCATGAGGGTGTAGAGGACGGGTGGGCAGAGGTCAGGCTTGGGCAAGCGGTCGCCCCTCTCCAGCACCCCGATAACATCCTTGTTCTCCAGCCAGAAGAAGGGCTGCTTGCCGTAGCTCAGGATCTCCCACATGCACACGGCTGTGGGAGCAACAGGAGCAACCTCAACTGATGCTAGAGCTGGGGGACCAGACCCTCGCTTGCGTTTTTGGGGACCTGGTGACAGTGCCATGCTTTGCTGCGTGACACCAGGTCACTTGGCTGCTCGGCCTTTCTGGTCCCTCGGTGAAAAATGCAGAGGAAAGAGCTGCCTGCTCTCCCGGGGAGCTGCAAGGAGCCCAGCTCCTGGTTGTCGCTGGCCATAGGGCTGTTGGGGATGGACAGAGGGTCAGATGAGCACCAGAGGCCATGGGGATGGGCTGATAGGCAGGGGGATGGACATTTGCAGGGGGTAGAGTTTAACTCAGCCCCCCCGATGGTCTTGAATTCACTGGAGGAGGATGAAGCACCTCATGATGGTTGAACTGCAAGAGGCTCTGCCCCAGGAGCCCTTTCCCCAAGGGCAAGGCAGGAATAACTCCCCCGCTCCAGAGCAGGATTTGTCCCTGTGCATTAAAACAATGCCACGGGAGGCGGATGAAGCCCAGGACCCCGCTCCATCCCTGTCCCACCACGTACCAAACATCCAGACATCGCTGGCTGTTGTGAAGCGGCGGAAATTGATGGATTCAGGTGACATCCACTTGATGGGGAGACGGGTGATGGATGCTGGAGGGAGAGACAAGAAGGTGGCTGTGCTCGCTGCGGGGGGGATGGAGCAGCCCCAGCACAGGCAGGGCAGCGAGGTGTCACCACGGTCTCTGTCCTCACAGGGTTGAAGCGAGCCCCAACCCCATCACGCAGCTCTTACCTTTGTAGTATTCCTCATCCTCGATGTACCTGGAGAGCCCGAAGTCGCCCAGCTTCACGCACTCTGGGGAGGCCACCAGGATGTTCCTCACGGCAATATCCCTGCAAGGAGAGAGACCCTTGGCTGGGGAGAAGGGACGGAGAAGGGATGGAGAAGGCGAGCTCAAACCTGGGCAACCAGCTCATCCAGCTGCAGAAAGGGTGTGCAGCAAAGGATGCTGCCAGTCTCTCCCTCTGCCCGCTCCTACTCCCCACCTGCCTGTCCCCCCAGCCGGTCCCTGCCTTTCCCTGCCTCTCCCAGCATCCCGCCTGGCTCATTTTCCCTCCTGTCCTACCTGTGCACGCAGTTGATGGCCTCCAGGTAGGCCAGGGCTTTGCTGATCTGCAGCACGTAGAGGATGAGCGTGGGCACGGCGAGACAGTGCTTGTTCTGCTCCAGGTATTGCCCCAGCTGCAACAGGACGAGTGAGGGGGGCTCAGGGACCGGGCAGGGGTGGGAAGGGTGGCAGGGGGACAGGATGGCTCCGGTGGTGGGACCCCACTCACCTCTCCATAGGGATAGAGCTCCATGATGATCCAGGTGGGCTCCTCTTCCGCGATGCCGATGAGCTTCACAATATGGGGGTGGTCCAGCTTCTTCATCAGCACTGTGGGAGGACCATGTCAGACACCCTGCAATGGGAAGGCCCCCCCTCCAGGAGCCCAAACTCCTGTCCTGGGGTGTAGGGGTAGGTCTCTGCCATGAAACTGGAGACAGAGCAGGAGGAATTCCCAGCAATAGCCTAGTACGTCACCAGAGGGATTGGGGCTCCTGGTTTCCAGCTCCCCAGGGATCTGCATCCAGGTGGTGCCTGTCTGCTCTCACACAAGGATTCAGCAGCTTTTCTTCCCTGCTCCCGGTAGCCAACCCTCCCATAAACCAGGTATTTTGGAGAACAGCCCTGCCACAGGGGCAAGGGCATGGGCCACCTCCCTCCTCCTGCTCTGTCCTGCATTGCAATGGCAATTTGTCCCCAAACAGGGACTAGAAGATGCCAGGACAGGGTATCTGCCATCCTGTCCGTAACACCCCACCGTTGCAGTGCTGCAGACACCACCAGGCCCCCCACATCTGTCCTCTGCCCGCCTATGTGAGCCCCAGGGTGGGGGCTGAGCCGGCCCCAACCCCCCCCCCCGATGGGCAGCAGGACCACCCAGCATACCTGCTTCGCTCAGGAACTTGTCCTTGTTCTCCGGGCTGCAGTCCTTCTTGCAGGTCTTCACGGCTACATTGACCCGCTCGCCTTTCTGCAAGGAGAAGGAGGGGTGGGGGCTGCTTTACCCCACTCCCCCCAGCCGCAGAGGAGGCAGGCAGGGCAGGGAGAGGGCAGAATGCTCACTGGGGTGGTGTAGATCCCCTCGTAGACCTCTCCGAAAAAGCCTTCTCCAAGGATCCTGCCCAACGTGATGTCCTCCCGGGAGATCCCGTAGTGCTGGACTTCATGAACAGGGGAGCAGGGCAGAGGTGGCAGTGCCAGCAGGCAGAAAGCTGCCTGTACCCCTGCCTATTCCGTGGGCAGAGCCCCCATACTAAGCAGGAGATATTGGCAATCCCTAGGTACCAACCCTCTCCATCACCCCCTCGGCAAGGACCCAGAGGTCCTGCCCCATGGCACATGGGGTGATCCCAGCTCCTTCAGCCCCTCTGGGGTGGGTAAGGTGGGCAGTGCAGGCAAAAGCTTGTTCCCAGCTTTGGGGGAATGGGGTAGGAAATTGGGGTGGGCAGGAGGGGGTGGGAGGGCTTGGCTGCGGTGTTGGGAGATGGGCAAGAGGGCACCCAGGGGATGGCACCTACCTCCAGACCTCGGTCTTGTGGACTCATCAGGGATTTCAGCATAAATATCAGAGTCTAGGGCAAGAAGGAGGTTGCAGGCAGGGATTCAAGCAGCTCACCGGGCAGGGGGGTTTCTTGCAGCATCCCCACGGGGTCCAGCCTCCAAGCCCAGAGCAGTCCCCGCAGGGACCTCGGTCATCAGGAGTGGTAGGATGCCAGCCTAGCCCTCCTCTGGGATGCTCGGCTGCATCTCACCCCCCAGGCAAAGGGCTGGGGGTGTCCAGTTCCACCAAACCCCCAAATCCCCATACACCAGTGTCCCACAGCCCTGCCTGTATCCCCCAGGAAAGGAGGAGAAGAGCCAAAAACTCACCCACGCTCACGCTGTCTGACAGCGTGAACTGCCTCTCCTCCAGGTGCCTGTGGGGTGGGAAGGGGTTGGGGTCAGGGAGTGGGGTGGGGGGACAGGACGGGGTCCCAGCCCCACTCCAGGACCAGGCGCTACTCACGGGGCCGGGATCTGCGGCAGGCTGATCCTCTTCTCCCGCTCTGCGGAGAGAACAGCGGACAGTCAGTTCCCAGCCACCCCCATCGGAGCCTGATGGGCGCTGGGCCCCCCCCCGACCAAATGCCTCAACCACACGTGCAGTGAGTTTGGTGGGTCTCAGCTGGGGTCACTCTAAAGCCACAGGTGATGCTGTGGCCATGGAGAGAGCGGAGAAGGGCTCGGGGGGGCAGGGGTGAGGACCCTGGCCGGGTCAGTGCCCTCCAGGGCGCTCACCTCTCCTGGGGAAGACAATGAGAGAGGTTTCCAAGTCCCCTTGCAGCCGGCAGTAGCCATCGATGAGGTCGGCCATGTTCTCTGCCTCGGCCAGAGAAGCCGTCTTGATAGCCAGGGACTGGGGGAGACAGCAGGAACGGGGAGTCAAGTGAGCCCAAAGCTGGGGCAGGAGCATGCTGGGATGGGGGTCCCCCATTCCTCTCCACCTTGGGGTAGCTTTGTGACCACCTCCCTGCTCTGCAGCTGATCCCAGTTTCTCCAGCATCATCTTTCCCAGCACCACAGGACACCCCGGTCAACACACCCAGCACCAAACCACCCCTGAGCAGGGGTGGACCCTTGGGGCAGGGGCACCCCTGGGACAGCCTGGACGTGTCCTGCTTTGGGGGACAGTCTCCTCTTGGCTGGGGCTGGAGGCAGGAGCTCTCTCGGTGGAAACAGAACCATCCACCAAGTCCTGCCTAATCCACAGGGATGCGATGCCACCCCACGGCACCGGAGGATCCCCCATCCCACCCACACCCCCCAGCACCCGGGGCACCCCCCCAGTGCCTCCTCACCTGGGGGGTGCCACTGAGCCCCAGCTGCAGCACAGCCCGGCCTTCTTCCACGCTGGAGCATTTGATGGACTTGATGTGCTTGAATTCGGCCAAGCATGTGGGCTGGGGAGAGAGGCAGAGCCCCGGCGTTGGCTTTATTCACCAATTTAAGAGCAGCCACCCCCCATTCCCCATCCAGCACCCAACACCCCCGCCCCGTACCTTCGCCTCCTTGCTCGTCATCTGCCGGATGCCCTTGGGTCCGATGACCAGGTCCACCGTGATGTTCCACCCTTGCTGGGGGGGGGGGGCAGCAGAAGGAGGATGCAAATTTTAGGGGGGAGGTACCCCCAGAGCCAGGTCCCCTCCCTCAACCTGCTGCCAAGTGTAAGACACCTTGGAAAAATCACCTTCCCAGCGGCACTTGAAGCGGGGATGGTTTGGAGAGGGGATGGTGGACGGTGCAAGGCGAGGAGCCCAGCGTGGCTGGTTTTCCTCCTCCTGGCCCCAAAGGGGTTCCCAGCGCTCCTGGTTTGCCGCCTTCTCACCCCAAAGGGTTTCAGCAAACTTCAGGCACCGGTTTGCACCCACTGGGTTTGCACCCCTGGGTGCGGAAGGTCCCCAGAGCACCCACCACAGCCCCAGTCCCTGTCAGCTCCCAGCGTCCTCCAAAAAGGAGCCCCCAGACCTTCCCCCTGCTGCGGGCAGGGGGAGAGATGCTCAGCTGCCCCTCAGGGAGGTGATGCTGGGGGGCTGCATGGGGGATATAGGGTTTGTGTCTCCCTCAGGGGGAGACCGAGTGATTTCTAAGCCTTAGAAACACCCCGCAGGGACTCCTCCAAGCTGGGGGTGGCCGAGTCCCCATCCAAGTCCAGGGACCACGGTCCGGGAGCAGCCCACAGCAGGGTGGTTTTGCCCACGCTGCCACTTGCAAGCATCCCTGGTCTGCGCTGCCTAAACAGTGCCAGGGGATGCTTCGGTGTGGGCAGCTCACTGCCCTGCTATGCAGGGTTAATTAACGGCTTGAGAGCACTGATGACTACGGTTGCATCTTTAGCAAGACTCTTCTGGGTTTAAGGGCATGGGAGATGCAGCCTCAAACACCAGCTTGTGATGGAGGTTGTCCTCATCCCGCAGCGGCTCCCCTGCACACTGCCTGGTACAGGGGGGGCACAGCCAATGCGCCTGACCCCAAAGCACCCAGGCAGGGGGATGTCATCCCATCCCATTCCATTCTGCAGACTCACAATGAGCTCGCAGCGGTAGCTCTCCTGGTCGATGTTGGCAAAGGTGGAGAGGGTATGGAGGAACTTGAGGATGCACTCCTCCTCCCGCAGCAGTGCGTACTGCTGGAAGGTCTGCTGGATCATCTTCCGAAACTGCTTGGGCTGTGGACACAGTGGCCGCTAGCCATGCCGGGCACGTGGCAGGCACGCAGTGGGGATGTGGGGTGCAGGGGGTACGAGCTGTACATGGACACATGCATGCACACGGACACAGGCGCACCCATGGACACATGCACACATGTGCTCACCTGCAAATATGAATATGCACCCGCACATATGCACATGCATCTGCGTGCACACCCATGCATGTCCACACGTGTGTGCATGCCAGCATCCCTCCGTGTGTGCACGCTCACTCACATGTACTCGAATATGGGCAGATGTGCATGCAAACCAATGTGTGTGCACATGGCCACATGTGTGCATACATATGCACATGTGTGTGCGTGCAGGTGCATCATCACATGTGTGAGCAGATGTGCTTGCATGCATATACCTGCATAGATATACATGCATACATATGCACATGCGTGCAAATACACCCTCACATGTGTGAGCAGACATGCTTATACATGCAAATCCACCCATGCACACTGATATACACAGAGGCACATACGGCTCTGTATGTGAATGTACACACAGAGGCAGATACACCTTCACAAGTGTGTGCAAAGCTCCACAAGCGTGGGCAGATGTGCACATACGTGTGTGCAAACCCACACATGCACACTGATGCGCATATCTGGCCCCATACGTGCACGTATACACACGTGCGCATGGGTGCATGCGTGCAGATACATCGTCACATGCGTGAGCACAACCGCGCATGTACACAAGTGTGGGCAGATGCGTGCACACGTGCAAATCTACGTGTGCATTTCAATGCAGCCACGTCCGTGCATGATCACACCCCTTGCACCCGTGCACCCAGCCCTGCCTGTCCGCACCCACACCCACGCACACATCCCTCACCTTCAGGTTCTCCTGCATCTGGCTGGGGAAGAAGAGGTCCAGGCCCACCTCTTTCCTGGAGAGCAGAGACCCCCGCGCACATTAATGGCCCCGCAGGGACCCCTGCTCCCGGGGCTGCAGACCGGCGACGGGGGGGGCGGGGGATGCACCAAGCAAAGTGGGTGCTGAGGGGCAAGGGGGTGGTCCTGGGGGAGAAGCCTCCCCCCCAGCGCAGGGTGAAATGTTCCCATCTCCCCCTCCTTGCACCCTCCCCATCAGCAGGGCTGATGGCTCCTGGAGGATGAGGAGCTGTGGGACGATAAGGAGCTGCAGGAGGATGAGGAAGGCCATCTGCAGCACCCCAGCTCCTCGGGGCCAGCTGGACAGGGTGTGGGGTTTAGGGGTAAGGGGCTTTCTGCCCAGCAGGACGGGCTGTGCCTACTCACTCCAGGAACTCGAAGTTGGACTTCTTATCCAGCGCGTTTTGAGGCATGTCCTTATAAAACCTCCTGCGAGAAGGGAGGGACATCAGACAGCCACCCTTGCGCTTGCATCCCCCCACCACGTCCTCCCACTATGGCCAAGAAAGAGCTGGAAACTCTGTCCTCTCCTGCAAAACCCTCCATGGCCTCAGCCCTCACTCCCCCGTCCTCCCCAGCCCTCCCACTGCAGCAGACAGGCTGGGACAGGCAGAGACACGTACCTGAGCTCGAGGCAGCCCAGCTGCAGGGCCATGCCTTCGCTCACTTTGCTGGCATAATTCTGCATGTACTCGCTTCGGAGCTGCCGAGGAGACACAGGGGTCAGGAGAAAGAGGGGATGGATGCTGGCACGGGATGGTGGCAGGGGATGCTCACAGAGGATGCTCACAGGGGATGCTCGGAGGGTCCATGCCCTCCCGCATCCCGTGCTGGGATGCAGCAGGGGCAGGAGTGGGGTGAAGGGGTCGGGACCGGCTATCCCTGATGGACACGCACAGATCCAGCGGAGGGATGGGACCACAGGGGCTGCCTGTCAGCAGCCCAGGGTGAAGGTAAACGGGCTGCAACGTCTTGGGAATCAAGTTTTCTGGGCTGGAGAGGAGGAAACACCCTCCTGGAGCTAGGGGGTGGGTCAGGGTGGCTGGAGAGGAGACCTGGCTGGGGCTAGGAGACCCCCAGGGCCACCTCTGACCTGCTGGTAGAAGTAGAGCAAGGTGGTCCTGTCCTCTTTGAAGCGCTCCATGAAATCCTCCGGCAGATAGCGGATTTGGAGATCGTACCTGGCAACAGGAGAGCCCCTCGATGAGGACCATGCTGGAGAAGCTTTCCCTCTAATGGGGCTCAGAGGTCCCCACGCTCCTGCCCCATGTGGGTTTGGGGACACGGAGAGGGACACCACCACCATGGGTCCTACCTCCACTCAGCCTCCAGGTGCAGGCACTCATACTTCTCCTGCACTTCGCCCACCGTCAGGTCCGGGTGCAGCCAGTGGATCTCATCCGACTTCACGTGCTTCAGGCGGAGCCCATAGCACTCGGCCAACTTGATGTCGGGCCCGATGCGGCCGCTCACCAGGATGGACCTGATCACCTCCTAGGGTGGAAAGGAGCAGGGCTGAGATGCGAGCATCCCCAGCCAGGCTCCAGATGAGCTGTAGATAGCAGGAAAACGAGGAAGAAATACAGCAGAACTGCAACAGAAATGTCCCTGGAGCAAAAATGCAGCCTTGGGCACAGCCACCAGCCCCAGCGGTCCCCATGTGAAGCCTTCAAAGATGCCTCCAGCTTGCTCTGCAACAACCCACAGCCTGAACATGCCTCATCCAACCTCCCAGAGGTGTCTTGGTTGGGGATAAAAGCCCAGGTGGGTCATTTCCACCCTTCCTTATGCCTCAGCTGAGCTACACCTGATGCACGGCATCAGTTGCAAGCAGGTAGCAAAGCAGACATCATTGTTGCTGGTGAGCTTGCGGTGCGGCTTGTTTCTCCTGCTCCAGAACTGGGGCAGTGCGGGCAGGGAGTCCCCAGGACCCTGCCAGGCCTCTGCTCTCACTCTGGTAGCCAAAAAGCCAACTAAAAGCTGATTGTTATTAACAGAACCGGTGGCCAAGATGACCCCAGCAAGGAGTGACCACCTCTGGCTTGCTCCACTCCTGCGTCCTGCTGGCTGTGCTCCCACCCCTGCACTGGGGACAGCCGGACCGTTGCCATTTCACGGCTTCACTTGCATTTTCCCTCCCTGGGCATCTCCTTCCCAGCCTGATGAGTCCTCTCCTGCTTGCAGTATGGTCAGGAGAGCAAGAGATGCTGCTGGCCCTGGAGCTGGGTGCACCCCTGGGGTCCCCAGCAGGCAATGGCACCATGACGTGGCCACGGGGAAATGCTGAGGGCTTGGGACTGTGAAGGTCACTGTCCCCTTCATCACCGAGGACCTGTGGTCATGCAGGTCAGCAGGGATGGAGGAAAGGTGGGGACCCAGGTCCTGCTGGTCCCCAGCCTCATCCTGACAGCGCGGGCTGAGCCTCAGCCTTGCAAGGCACTGTCGTGTCCCAAATCCACTTGCTCCCTGCACCACTGTGCCCGGGGATTTCTTCACCAGGGCCTGGGAACTCCTCTTTGCTACCCAAGAAGGGGACCAGCAGCAACTCACTGGGGCCAATCCTTGCTGCAGGAATGGGCAGCGGGGCCAAGGAGCCCTCGCCCTCTCCAAGGGCCCCCTGAGCCGCCAGAGATGGCCAAATTTTCTCTCTGTCCTCCAGGTCTTGGTGCTTCTCAGCCACGGGGCTCTGGGGGCTACCATATCATGGGAAAGGGTGTCTGGGAAGGGAGCTAGCTCTGATGCTGGGCGGACAAAACAGCCCCCCCTCCCCTGCCCTGTCCACCCCCTTGCCCACGCACCCGGATCTCCGTCGTCACGGGGCACTTCACCAGCTTGAAGTTCTTGCCCATGTTGAAGCTGTTGCTGTAGAAGCACACCTTGAGGATACGCATCTCCTCCTTGTCCATCTCCAACGTCCCCATGCCCAGGGTGGCTTCCAGGGTCCCAGCCAGGCTGCGGGAGGAGCTGCTCCGCGGGCGACCCAGCGCCTCGGGGATGGCCGACATCCTCACCACGCCGGGGGTGCTAGGAGCTGAGCATCCCTTCCCTGCGGGACAGACACCGCGCTGGCACGGTGGGGACCTTGGGGAGTGGGGGGTCACCCTGCAGGATGGGGAGAGGGTCAGGGAGATGGGGATGGGAGAGGGAGGGGTGGGATGGGGACAGCGGGGACACCCCCAGGAGGGAAGGGATGGAGAGATGGATGGAGAGAGAAAATAAAGAAAGAAAGAGTGCGACAAAGGGTGCCCTCCTTCCTGCCGTACACTCCTGGCCATGCACAGCCACCGGGTACCCCTGAGCTCAGCACCTCTGGGCAGAGCCTTGTGTCCTTGTCACCTCCAGAGCAGCGCCTATGTGTCCCACCACCTCCGGAGCAATACCTCTGTGTCCCCATCACGTCCAGAGCAGTCCCTGTGTGTCCCCATCACGTCCAGAGCAGTCCCTGTGTGTCCCCATCTCCTCCAGAGCAATACCTCTGTGCCCTTGTCACCTCCAGAGCAATACCTCTGTGTCCCCAGCACCTCCGGAGCAGTCCCTGTGTGTCCCCATCTCCTCCAGAGCAATACCTCTGTGCCCTTGTCACCTCCAGAGCAATACCTCTGTGTCCCCATCACGTCCAGAGCAGTCCCTGTGTGTCCCCATCTCCTCCAGAGCAATACCTCTGTGTCCCCAGCACTCACCATTTTCTCCCCTCCATGAAACCCGGGTGAAGGTTTCAGGCTCCAGCTTCCCAGCACGGGTACCTGCAGCTGCAGCTGCAGTTCAACAACGTGACCTCCCAACCAAGCTGAATTTAGCAGATAGCTTTGCAAAAAAAAACCAATAAAAAGCAAAATGGGGCAAGCAAGCCAGGTTCCTTCTCCCCCGGAAGGGCGATACTTATTTATATTGATTTGCTCTTTTATTTTTAGAGGGGATAAAACCCAGAAGCCTGCTCAAAAAATGTCATTTGAGCCAGAAGGGAAGTGGCTTGAGTTTTCCCTTCACTGAGAAAAACACTGAACAGGGTATGTCAGTCTTGGATGATCTGAATGGATCCAAAATTTTCCTCTTCACGTGGCTTTTGGGTTGCAAGCTGGGCAGGGCTGGCACAGAAGAGGGTTTGCTCTGGATTGCTTTCTCTACCTCTCTAGATATGCATTTGGGCTGAGGCTGGGCAAACTCAGCTCACATAACCCTGTAAGAGTACAGGTATTTCTCTCAGCCCAGCCACTGGCTTCTCAGGAAATCACACAGCTTTGCACGGAGCCTGAGCGAGCAAAAAAACCAGCCAGCACAGCCAGATGCATGGGACAAATTCAGATTTGCAAAGAGCTGCTCCAAACTGCATTTTTGGGGGCATGAAATAAAAAGAAAAATGTGGAAGTTCCCCCGTTAGGCTGCTTCTGAGCTGCAGCCCCAGCTGATCTTGGGCCTGATTAACTGCAAACTGAAGCGTTGCAGCTCTCATGCGTCACTCCGGGTCTGCAACACGGAAAGGTCCTGGTGTGGCTCTGGGGCGGGGGGGCTCCCGGCAGGGCTGGAGGGACAGAGGGGCTGGGAAAGGGCTGGGGTGCCCGGAGGGTCTCCCCAGCTCTGTCCTGCGAAGGCAGGCAGGCTGAGGAACAGACCTGGAAGATGCTGCAGGGAGGGGATGGGGTCGGTGGGACCGGCTGCGGGACGTCCTATACATCCCCCTGCATGGGGCTGAGGGTCTCGCTCTCTCCACGATACCCACGGGGTCGGATGGCCGAGACGGCCTCTAATACGGCGGCAAACAGCATCAGAGCATCCCTCGTCTCACCCGGGGGCAATGCGCCCAAACCTCGCGGCCGGGCTGCCTCGGCGCTGGAGCGGATGGGGAGTGCTCGCACGCAGCCCCGGCAGCACCGACCCGGGGTGGGAGCAGCGAGGATGGGCTGCTGTCACCCTTGCAGGGCTCGGGGGGGAGGCTCCGTCCCATGCCACAAACCTGAACTGCAAGTCCGGGCTGCAGCCATCTCCCCATCGCCGGCCTCTGCAAAACCAAGCACCGATGGGGGAGATGGCAAGAAAAAACATGCAGCCAAGGAGCTGCCGGCAGGACCCCTTCCCAAGGCTGGCTGCTGAGGTTTTCTTCCCCCGTTCCCCCGCTTCTCCTTCCTCGCTGGGATTTGCAACATCATTTGCACAGCGCTTAGAGGCAGCTTCGCTGTAATTACAGCTCCATGCGAGCTTGCGAGCTAGCGGGACGCTGCGTGCTGCCTCCCGCAAGCTTCGGCTTTTTAAAGCAACTCTCCTGAGTCACTGGCCTAAAAATACTCGCGGCGTAGCCTGACACTTTCAGGTCCGTACCAAGGGTTTTGCTGGCAGCGGTGCAATGCGTGGACGGCCCAGACTTTGTTTTCCAGGTTTCTCCAAGGGAACAGGGAAAGAGGGTCCCATCCCCGTGGCTGCGATGGAGCATTGCTACGGCAGCGATGGGATGCTGTGATGCTAACCTTGGACCTGAGCGAGGCAGCAGCACTGAGCTGGGCACTCTCGCCTCTTGCACGGGCCGGCAACGAGCCCAGCCACGCCAGCGGTCACACACTCGTGAGCTCACATGCATTTTTCACAATGAGTTTTGATTTTTTTTCTGTCCTTCACAGCAGTTTCACAGGCTGCACGAGGAGGACCTTGCAGCAACCCACATCCTTTGCAGAACACCCCTATGGCTGGCTCCCTGCAGGTGATGTGCCTTTTAGCCAGATCCCCTTCTCATATGGGCTGCAAGGGCTGGCTGCAGCGTGGACAACCAGGGCATCCCCCCTTGCCCTGTCCTGTCTCCAGCCATGCCGGGGAAGCCGGGGCCATCCCTGCAAGCGATACCATGGATGCTACATGCCTGAGCGACACCAGCCCGCAAACCGCATCCACGCTGCTGCCGCCCAGCATCATGCTGTGCTGGATGAGGGTTCCCTGCTCAACTAGTCTTAACCAGGGAGAGGGTCAAGCAAAACCAGCAAGCCCCCATCCCAGCTCGGCAGCAGGCACAGAAATGCTTTGCTTCAGGCTTTGCTACAGCTCTCGCTGCTCTGCAGAAGAAGCCGGTACCCAAAAAGCTTCTCCTCCCAGAAATAGGGAAAATAAAGATTTCTTTTGCTAAATAGCTAAAAACCAAACCCTGTGCTCTCTGGGTTTCAGAGGGACCCTCCCAGGGGGGTGTCGCGGTGGGGACAATGGCCCGAGTCAGACCCCGGGGAGGGGGAGTTCGGCCCTTGGTTGAGAGGGGCAATGGCTGACTTAGGAAGCATGCTGGTATTTCTAAGGGCACATGGACCCAAAATGTTTCGCTTTGGCTTGTCTTCTTTTTCCCCACTTTATCTTTGTTTTCTGCTTTCTTCCTCCAGCCCCATTCCCACAACACGTCCCCTCACACTCTCACTGAGCCCATGGGCCCAGGACCGGGGCTGGATGTCCCCTCCGTGTCCCTACCCTGATGAACGCTGCAGAGAGCATCCCGCAGACGGCATCCCGCTGCCCCTGAGCAGCACCTCCGACCGTCGTGGCTGGAGATGGCCAGGGCTAGAGGCAGCCAGCACGAACAAGGGCACATCCCGTGTTTCGATGTCCCCTCAAGCCCAGCACGGACACAAGGGACGGCTCCAGCTCTCCAGCCAAGCACCCCGCAAACTCCCAGCCCCTGCACAGGTCGAGATGCCCATCCAAAATAAAGCCGGGAAGCGCAGCGAAGGCAGTGCCTGCACCCTGCCTGTGTCGCAGCTGTGCAGCGCCTGGGGGGGCACATCCTCGAGGCCATTTGGCTGGAGGGGACACGTACCCCATATGGACCTGGCCATACTCTGCCTCTCGGCTTCAGGGATGGAGAAGGGGCCCTGGCCACGGCCCGAGCCCCCCGGACCTCCACCCCCTGCCCGCTCGCCTCCTCTCTGGCACGAGGACATGTCCCACCGTGGGGATGTGTCCCACTGGAGCCCGGTTCTGTCCCCAGTGGGGACAGCCGTGTCGTACGTGTGATGCAGCTCCAGCCAGGCAGACAGGGACGGCAGAGCCCACGAAATGAAACCGAGAGCTCGCACTGCTGCCACCGTCACCAACATCCCCTTGCTGCAGGCTCTGTGTTCCTCCCCCCCGGCAGCCTCCGTTGCCTTCTCCTGTGGGTGACACCCCGAAAGGTCCCCACGACGGCTCAGAGCGACCTCCCGTCCCGCACCCCGGCACAGCCCTGGACCAGGAAGTTTTTCCACTTGCTCCCACGTTCTCAGAAAAGTTTGGTGCCGGGGGGTGCCAATTCCTCCAGCCCTACCCTGAACCCCAGACGCACCTGGGCTGACGGCCACGGCCACAGCGACACGCTGAAACCCCACCGAGCCCCTTCCCCAACTCAGCGCGACGAGTTTGCCCGTGCTCAGCCTTCCGCCCACCTCCTCGAGGGGGCGAGGGTCTCGGTCCCACCGTTGCACCCTGGGGCACCCCAGGCACCCAGAGAAGGGGGTGCAGGAGGCAAGTAGGACTTACGGAGAGGCAGCTGTCCCCTCCGTCCCCACACCGAGCCGGCGCTGACAGAGCCCACACTTCCTGCTGCGGTTGACAAGTGTGCGCAGAAGTATTTGCACAGCACCCAGGCAGGCAGGGCCCACGCACAGGCACGCTCACACACGTGCTGCAAGCGGTTGCTCAAGCCTGTTGTACAGATGGGGAAACTGAGGCACAGCTCGCTCCTGCCCGGAAGACCAGTTTGGGTGATCTCAGCACAGGGAGGTGGATGCAGGCAGCAGGCAGAGAAGACAGCTCGTATCGCTCTCCTCTGCAAAACTCAAAGTTACGGTCCTGCTGAGCGATGACACAACCCCGAAGCGCCTGTGCCGGGGGGGGGGGGCAGAATCTGACCTGAAGACCCTGCAGGAAGCAGGGGACGGGGACAACGGTGACCTGCGACTTACCCCAGTCACCCAGGAGGATCTCCAGCTGCCAGACCAGCCCATGGGCTCCAGCATCCCTCATGCCGGGACCCAGCGCATCCCACCCCGAACCATCCTGCCTCTTCTCTCGGCTGCTGCCAAGTTGGATCCCGGCTCCATCCAA